CAATTTGGAATTTATTATTGAGTCAACAGTAACTTGGCAGAGCCTTTATGTAGAGAAATAAAGATGAAGTGTGGGAGGTCAATAAAAAGCAAATTCACAGGCCAGGGAGATAGCACAAAAGGTTGGTGGATTTGTTTTTGCATGAAGGAACCCTGGATATCAACCCCAGTACCATATGATCTCTGGGGTACTGCCATAAATATCCCCTAATCACCATAAGATATGATTATTCACCCCTAAAGAAACAAAGTTTAATTTTATTTGAAATGGTAAGGAAACATTCAAGTTGAACAGCCAACAAGTAGGTAGAGAAGCGGTACTATAAATCAGAAGAAAAGTCAGAGCTAGAGATTTGGCTGAGTGTTTGTAAGAAGCATGAGCTGTACTATCAAGAGAGTTTTGAGTAATGAGAGCAAAAGGACAACGACTAAACCTGAGAAAAAGGCAGTATTTGGAGAGCGAGAAGAGATGTTGTTAACCCAGGAGGGCAAGGAAAGGACAGGACTTGGAAGCCAAGGGAGATGCTTTTTTTAAATTTTTTTATTTATTTATTGAATCACCGTGAGAATAGTTACAAAACTTTCAAGTTTAAGTCTCAGTCATACAATGCTCAAACACCCGTCCGTTCATCAGTACATATTTTCTACCACCAAGAAGCCCAATATACGCCCGCCCACCCCACCCCTCCCCATGCCTGTGAGGCAGATGATTTCCACTTAACTTTCTCTCTATTTTGATCACATTCATTATTTTTTTTAGATTTACAATTTTTTGTGCTTGGGTTTCGATTATACAATGATCAAATACCCATCCCTCCATCAGTGCCCATTTTCCACAATCATGGATAATATCCCTCCCACCCCACCCCCATCCCACCCTGCCTCTGTGGCAGGGCATTCAAGAGAGATGCCTTTTGGGGAGGGACTGGCACTGGCAGATTCAGTATGTCTAAAGCTGAAGAAAGAGGGAACTACAGCAATGACAAGTGACAGACAGAAGATGAGATCTTGAGAGTGCAGACAAGAGTCAGGCAGACCCAGGGACTCCACTGGCTCCACCACTTACTAGCTAGGTGCCTCTGACAGCTTTACCCTTCTGATCTTCCTTTTTTATTCATCTGTAAAATGAAAATAATATCTCAATGGTTCTAAGATATAAAATAATAAAAAGCATTTAGCAGAAGATTAAGTGGAGACATTTGTAAAACTGAACACAGTGTGCAATGTCTGGCAAAAGCTCAAAAACTTGCTCTTTCATCATCATGGTCAACATTTGCTTTTGTTTTTTGTTCATACCTGGAGGTGCTCAGGGCTTAATCTGGCTCTATGCTCTGGGATCACTCCTGGCAGGCTTGAGGGACCATAAGGGATGCCAAGGATCTAACCCAGGGAGTCGTTTACAAGGAACATGTCCTGCATGCTGTACGATTGCTCTAGGCCCCTTTGCCACACTTTCTGTATTGGAAACTCTCTCCTTATTAAAGTCACTTTCTTGTTTGGGGGCCACACCTGGCAGCGTTCAGGGGCTCTGCCTGACTCTATACTTAAGGCTTACTCCTGGGCAGTGCCTAGCAGGTCTCTGGGGAGTATATATGGTGTCATGGATTGAATTTGTGACTAGTACGGGTTATCTCTCTGGCCCTAGAGTAATTTTTGCTTGTTTGGAGGCCATACTTGGTGGTGCTCAGGGATCATACCCGGCTCTGCCTGCAAGACTTGGGATTGAAGTAGGGTTGTCTGCATGCAAGGAAAGCAAGCATCTTACTTACCCTCTGTACTAGCTCTCTGGTCCCTCAAATTTTCTATTTAATAGTCCCATACTTCCCAAAGCTATAACTTTTCTATGATTAATATGCATTAAAAAATTGTAGGGAATCAGGGATATAGCTTAGATAACAGGATCATATGCTTGTAGGCAGTTAAATCCTTACCACTGTGTGATTCCCAAAGCATCACAGATAATAGCCCCTTACCACCTCAATTGCAGCCTCAAAACACACCAAAAGAATTGGTAAGTTAGGTCAGTGTGCTGTTGAGGAAAATTTAGTGTTAGTAACTGTCTTAATGTCATTTATACTCAAAGACTGCATGGAACCAAGAGGGGACACTGAACAGAAGAAAAGACTAGTAGAAGTAACTAATGCAAAATGTGGATGACCTAGAACAGATAGAAGACCTGAATTTAGAAAGAGAAAGAAATCTTTGTTCCTGCAACACTGGACTCTGACATTTCCTAGCTTTCTTATGAAACCTGATGATAGCTGTGAAACTTTTTTGAGTGTTTAGGATATATGAATGAATTTGACCTGACACCTTCCTGATCAACTGTAAAATTGCCTTGACCACTACCTTGAATTTTCCTAATGTTAAATTACACTCTAATTCAAAATAATATGCAAAAGTCCAATGAATGTCATAATTTTGTTTTGTTTTAGATGTCATATCCTGTGGTTCTCAGGGCTTACTCCTGACTCTGCACTTAGGGATCACTCCTGGAGAAGTTTAAGGAGTCATATAGGATGTTGGGGAATCAGCCATGTGCAAGGCAAGCACCCTACCTGCTGTACCATACCTCTCCTTCCCCGTCATAGATTTACAAGGAAAGATTTTACCGTGGCTCCTTCTGTTAGTGTGAAATTAGTACACCATGATCACCAAGTATATTAGATGGCTCTGACAAGGGCCCTGTAATATTTAGCTTGTTATACATTTTAATCAAATTGTATTCATTTAATATTGGTTTATAATATTCTATAATATCATTACAATGATTAGCCCCACCATGTATGATTACGAAGTACTAAAGAATATAATAATTGTCACCATATGGAAGTTTGGGGGGGGTCTTAAATTTTTAATGGACTACATTCAGATGTTAATGACTGCATTCAAAATGCAACTCCCAGAGCTCCCTGAGAACATGGGCTTTGGAGTCATAGTTATATCCCAGCTCTGCTTCTCACTAGAGATGTGGCTTTAGGCAAGTTACTTAAGCACTATGAATCTCACTTTCACCATCTATGTAAAACAAGAATGATAACAGATCACACCAACCTGTCAGGGCTGTGGTGAGAATTAAATAGATTCATATATATGAAGTATTCAGAACTATGCCATCACAGCAGGTGATCAACGTGTGTCACTGTTCTTAAGCTCTGATTTGAAGCATGTCACTTGACTCCTTTTGTCTCTATAATGAGTCCAAACTACACAGCTGGTGAAATGCAATAATACATGATAGCGTTGTGAAAATTACATAGAACCCTATGAGAAGCTTTAAAAAACAATAACAACAAAAAGTTGCCTGTGTTAGTACATGATGAAGTGTAATAAGCTTGATACCTTGCCCAGCCTGAGAGCACTATCAAAATTGGGTGACCTTTGCTAGACATCTTTCCAAAGTGGGACAGATGTCTGTATTTGATAGGGCAAAAAGTAAGATCTGGGGAGAAGAAATGAGTAAAGATGAAGGAAACAAATAAAAATGTTAGGGAGAAAGAAGAGGAAGTCCAGTGATGCTGGCTTTCCAGAGAGGGGAACTAGAAAGAAATGCAGGCCCTTTTGGAGGTTGGCAGAGGAGGGAGAGATGATCTGAAGAATTTGAAGACAGCTATCCCTACTCTAGGACATTTAGAATATTCGTGAGGGTACAGGTCTGCTGGTGACTGCCACCACCAGTGTCCCCAGCAGGAGGGCCCTTATTCCTCCAAATAATCTAGTAGCACTGCACTGTCCTCCTGTTGTTCATCAATTTGCTGGAGCGGGCACCAGTAACGTCTCACAACAAATTGTGAGACTTGCTGTTACTATTTTTGGCATATTGAATACGTCATGGGGAGCTTGCCAGACTTTGCTGTGCAGGCGAGATACTCTTGGCAGTGCTTGCTGGGCTCTCCAAGAGGGGCAGAGGAATTGAACCTGGGTCAGCTGCATTCAAGGCAAACACCCTACCGCTGTGCTATCGATATAAAGTAATTGTATAAGAGAATTGTTTGTATGGGTGGATGCCTAGATCATTCATGGTCTTGATCTAAAATCAAGATCTTAACCTTTCATCACACTTGGTAATTCCAGTAGTGAACTCTATTGTTCCACTAGTGAACAGGAATACCAGTCAAAATGTGTTATGTCTATTTGTTTCTTGATACCAGAGAGGGCATTTGTTCACAAGACAAATGTTATTTTTAGATAAATCTCTTTTCTAAAAATAACAGCAAAACAAAATAAAAGATTTTCTTTGTAGAACTTTTCTGTTTTAAATAAATACTGAGTAAAGGGGGAGGTGTGAATAAGTGTCACAACTACTGTATTCCTGCCTCAGGAATTGATCAGACAGGGAACCAGGATCCTGAGCTGGGGGTAATCAGTCCCCAAGGACTGGAAGAAGTAACAGGCCAGAAACTCAGAAAGGTTCAAGTCAGAGATTATGTTGTAAACCTGAACGTCGTTGGTGCAAAATGTTCACCCACAGATAAGGGTCCTAGTTACACTTTCTGATTCCCCCTTTCTTCAGTCGACATAACTCTCTGGACTTGGTTTTTCACTAACCCAGACCTGCAAAGGGGTTTGTCCACTGCTGTGGCACAAGGTCAGCATCCTTGTACAGTCAGGGCCTTCCTTCCAGCCTCTACCACATACTCCAGACTCCGTCACCAGCCCCTCCAAATCCTTTTGGGAGGAAAGTGTCAAAAGAAGGGTTCAGAAGATACTAGTAAAGGCTCCCGCTGAACTAGAGTGGGCTGCAAGGGAAGATGGGAAGTGGGAGAGAGGAAGCCACGAACACACGGGACACTGGCGGGAAGCGACCTTGTGTCACCACAGTGGGTCCCAGACATGTCCCACCCCACCTATAGCCTGCTAGCTCAATTCCCCGCCCACCAGCAGTTTGGTTCAGTCCGCAGTTTTCATTTCAGTAAGGTTTAAATTGGGTTTTCTGAGCTCCCCACACCTCACCACCACCCTTTTACCTTAATAACCTTTAAATCTGTTTACAAACCAAAGACCAGCGACTGCAGCCGAGAAAGGCCTGAGAACGGCCTGAACCACAGTTTCCAGGGAGATTCACTTCCTGCTGCGCCAGGATTCCCCAGCGGGCCCAGGAGCCTAGCCCGGGCGAAGGCTCAGGGACACTCGGACCTCTCCTGGACACACCCAGCTAAACTTTGGAAACCTTCTCCCTACTTTGTCGGAGAAGTGAGGGAACTGGAAACTCCGCCCAAGAGATCTTCCTGAAAAGCATACAATTCTCGGAGGGATGGGTATTTGATCATTGTATGACCGAAACCCAAGCACAAAGATTTGTAAATTTACAACTGTACTCCATGGCGCTTCACTAATAAAAAAAAAAAGCATACAATTCTCCCCTCCTCAACCCGCTAACCCTCCCACTGCATGCTCTCTCGGTCTCATTGGCGGGTGGAGCAAAACCCTCAAAATCACTAAGAAATAAGCACATCTCATAGGTTCTGTTGCTTTATAGTATAGAACTAGTGTTCAACCAAACGAGGTTTCTTAATCTGATCCAGGGTACATCGGAAACTAGAGAGAAGGAAGGGTAGGGTTGTATCCTCAAAACACAGGGTTTCTTTGTACATCAGCTCTGTTCTGGGGTAGAGGATTATTTCAGGCATTTATTTTTCTTCTATTTTATTTCTTTTTTTAAAAAAAGTATTATGTTATTATAACAAGGTAAAGATGGCTTAAGTAGATCCCTCTTAGGGCTATTGAATCTAAAATCTCTAGGAAATAATTGTTTTTCTTCAATTACAGAACTCAAAAGGTTCTATATCACTAGTTCTTTACAGCTCTTCCATTACATTTAATAAGGCCTCTAATTTTTAGAGAGGTCAAAACCCCGCCAGATAAGTAAGAGAACATTAAAGGATGGACATGTGTGTGCTATAAAAATTGTTGTTTTAATCAAATATATTTTAAAGCAAAGTGAATCTACATTTAATGACACTTCATTTTCATTTGTAATAGTAATTGGCCTTAAATGAAAAGCACTTCATTGTCAATATTTCCTTTATTAGCTTATTCAAAGTAGATCTTGCCTGATATATAGAAGGGAATGCATTAGTATGAGTACAGCAGTAATTTAAAGATGACTCAATACCTCACTTAACAACACATTAACTAAGTTGGCCAAGTTTAAATTCCAGATCCAGCTCTTTCTTATAAACTATGTAAAGTTAGACAAGCTGGTTCATTGCTCAGTTTCCTCACTGATAAAAAGTTTATAATAATTTCACCTACCTTATAACTTCGTAAGAAACACTAAACTTTCTAAGTGCTTAGAACAGAGCAAGAGCACATTCAGTTTTTGTTTGATTCAAAAATGGTTTTATACCCATCCCTCCACCAGGGATGGGTATTTGATCATTGTATAATTGAAACCCAAGCACAAAATTTGTAAGTCTACAACTATACCTCATGGTGTCTCACCAATAAAAATTAAAAGGAAAAAAAAGAAAGTGCATAACATGAAAAAAATAACTGGACATATTTGTCTGATTTATTTATGCATTTTTCATTGTCATACTCTTATCTTTGTGTTTATTGCTATACTAATATATTCCTAATTATTGCCATTACACTAAGGTAAAGGTAAAGGCCCTCCCGTTCTTCATCGATTTGCTCGAGCGGGCCCAGTAACGTCCCCATTGGAGACTTTGTTGTTACTGTGTCTGGCATATCGAATACGTCACTGGGAGCTTGCCAGTCTCTGCCGTGTGGGCGAGATACTCTGGGTAGCTTGCCAGGCTTTGCTGTGTGGGCAAGATATTCTCGGTAGCTTGCCGGACTCTCCGAGAGGGGCGGAGGAATCGAACTCTGGTCGGCCATGTTGGCTGCATGCAAGGCAAACGCAAGCCCCGGGCCTGGAGTGATAGCACAGCGGTAGGGTGTTTGCCTTGCACGCAGCCAACATGGCCATTACACTAGAAGCCTTAAATTTTGGAAAATAATGTTTCTTCTTGTTTCACCATTAATCTTGATTAAAAAATTCCATTTGGAATATACCCCAGAGAGGCAAAAATGTGTAGTCGAAGTGACATCTGCACTTGTTTGTTCATTGCAGCACTCTTTACAATAGCCAGAAACTGGAAGAAACCTGGGTGCCCAAGAACAGATGACTGGTTAAAGAAACTTTGGTACATCTACACAATGGAGTACTATGTAGCTCTTAGAAAAGATGAAGTCATGAAATTTACATACAAGTGGTACAATATGGAAAGTATCATGCTAAGCGAAATGAGTCAGAAAGAGAGGGATAGACATAGAAAAATTGCATTCATCTGGGGGATATAAAGCAACAAAATATGAGATCAATACCTAAGAATAGCTGAGATCAACACCAGGAGGATTACTCCATAGCTTAGAGGCCAGCCGGATATTCTAGGGGAAAGGGCAGTTCAGATAGAGAAGGGAACACCAAATAAAGGGTGTTTGGAGGATCCTCCCAGGAGGGGAAATGCATGTTGAAAGTAGACTATGGACTGAACATGATTGCCACTCAATGCCTCTTTTGCAGACCACAACACCCAAAAGGAGAGAGAGAACAAAGGGGAATGCCCTTCCACAGAGGCAGGGTGGGAGGGGGGGTGGGGGGAAATGGGCACTGGTGGAGGGATGGGTATTTGATCATTGTATGACCGAAACCCAAGCACAAAGATTTGTAAATCTACAACTGTACCTCATGGTGCTTCACTAATAAAAAAAATTTTTTTTTAATTTAAAAAAAAGAAAGGTAAAAAAAAATTCCATTTAGGAAAAAAATCTAGTATTTAAAGTGATATTTGATTAGCTGTGTGATTTTGAAATATATTAAATATCTTATTTATCATAATAAATGCATTCAAGAAAACAAATCACACATTTGATTTTAGAATAAATTTAAAATTTAGAATCTGAAAAAACAAAAAACCAGAAATGGTTTTATATTTATGTAATGAATTTATATTTATAGCTATGTGTATATTCATGAGTATATACCTTTCTTTACAAAAATATTTTTTCTAAAGTCTTGAGAAGAAAAACAAATATTTTATTAGAAAACTGAATCCTATCTTGAGAAAAAGTATATCCTCCCATTTTCACCCCCACCCTTACTTTTTCTAAGCAACTAAGCAAACCTTTTAAGACAGGTATAGTGTTTGAGAAAGAAAAACCCTGAGGGTTAAAGAGAAGAGAGGAAAGAAGCTATAGGGGATTATTTTGCTATTAACCTTTAATATTTATTTAATCTGATAAAGCCTGTTCTTCTCTAAAAGAGAACTAAACCATTATGTTGCCAGTGGACCAGTCTCCTAGAGCCACAAGATGAAAGATTACTTACCCAGATTCAGCAACCAATTCTGCCTGGTCCACAAAAGCAGAAGCCAGTCAAGTCAGGCTAGACTCAAGTCCTAATAATCTGCTTGGCCTGGGAGCTTGTCCCTGCCACTCAGGGAGCCTAGTACTCAGTGAAACCACAGAATTGGATTCGGGATGAGATTTAACTCTTTCAGATTGAAGCTAGCTAGGGATCACTGACTTGTCTTTGCCAGAGGAAGAAGGCAAGGACAAGACAGAGAGCATACAGAAAGCAAAAGAAGTTGAGAAATAAACACCATAGACAAATCTAGAGGTTATCAGCTAAAGCCTGTGGTTGGTAGATTTGAGGTAAGGACTTTATAGAGTGTGCTGACTAAGGCAAGAAATATTCATGAAGGGGTTAGGCTATTCTGCACTGTGCTGGGGTTGCACAGGCTTTTGGGATCACAGACATGCTCATCTGTCACATGCCTCAGCATCTCATTAGCTAGAGGGTATATGAGTTAATATATGTTTCAGGCTTAATGAAGGAAAAAGGTGAAATCAAGGTCAAGGGTATCCTCTTTGAGCATGCATCAGAACAAATTAGAACTAGTTCTTCTGAGTTCCCTTATTATCAGAGTCTGGTAACCACAAGAATCAAAATAAGCGGGACGGGCATGGAGGCCCAGCTCTGGGCAACAAAGCTGAACAGCTCCAATTCCAAACAGGTACAGCCCGCCCCCAAGGGCCTGGGACCCTCCTTGGGCATGCGCAGCTAGATCCAGCTCCTAGAAAGCCGGTTTTCAACCCCTGATCTGTGCGGGACGGGCACGGAGGCCCAGCTCTGGGCAACAAAGCTGAACGGCTCCAATTCCAAACAGGAGACATTCCCAACTCCTCGCCCAGTGCCAGGGACTCTTTCCGGAGCAGCGGCCACATTAGCCGCATTATTTTCCCACTACATGTGCCATAGGAACCATAAGCTACCTTCTTAGATGGAAACTTCTCTAGTTTAGCTCTGCCACTAGAAACACAGTAGCCAATAACTCATAAGCCTATCTTAACTCACACTGCATATCAAGCAGAATAGTAACAGTGAACGTGAAGGATTAAACCACACCTCTCACAGTGGTAAAGCAACGCAAAAGCCCACCAAACTTTCATATTGAAGAGTCTAGTCCAGATGACACCAACAGTACTGTAGTGTTAGACAACCTCTCTGACAAGGAATTCAGAAGGGAGCTACTTAGGATGCTTAGGGAATTAAAAGAAACAATGGAAAGCAATGCCAATAGAAGACAAGAGGATCTGAAGGCAGGAATGAGGAAAATGCAATCAGAAATGTCAGACCTGAAAAATCTCGTAGGCGAATTGAAAAGCTCAGTGAAGGCCTCAGCAGCAGAGTAAGAGCTGCTGAGAACAGAATCAGTGAGCTCGAAGATCAAGTTCAGAGACTCTCCAGAAAAGAGCAGAAAATGGAAAAGAGACTCACAATTCGGGAACAGATGGCAAGAGAAGATCGTGATGAAGCCAAGAGGAGTAACATAAGAATTATTGGAGTCCCAGAGGTACAGGAAGAAAACCTTGATGAAGAAGAAACTGTCAAAGACATCATTGCTACAACGTTTCCAGAGCTGAAGAAAACTTGTGACCACATTCAGAAGGGTACCAGCTAGAAGAAATCCGAATAAAAATACCCCAAGACACATTTTGATCAAAATGACCAAAACCTTAGACAGAGACAAAATTCTGAAAGCAGCAAGATCGAAGAAAGAAATCTCTTACAAAGGAGCATCCTTAAAATTCACAGCTGATTTTTCTGATGAAACCCTCATGGCCCGAAAACAGTGGTGGGACATAGTGAAAAAAATCAATGAAATAAATGCCTCCCCAAAAATACTTTTCCCAGCAAGACTTTCATTCATAATAGAAGGAAC